AACTAAACAGCAGTCAACTGTATGGGTGTTTCAAAATGAACCAAATCCAACAAAAGTTGTTCGCGCTCGAAGCACTTCGAAACAAATGGTCGCCTGTTTTTTCGGAAAAACTGGTCATGTGGCAACAGTGCCTTTAGAGGAACGTAGAACGGTCAATTCTGAATGGTACACAACCATTTGTTTGCCGGAAGTCTTCAGTGAAATAAGGAAAACAAACAAGCGCCGCCGGATCATTCTTCATCAAGACGATGCCAGCTGTCACACATCTCGTCTAACAACCGACTATTTGAGCACTCAAAAAATCGAATTAATGGGTCATCCGCCGTACAGTCCTGATTTGGCACCAAATGACTTCTTTTTGTTCCCGAACGTCAAGAATAAATTGCGTGGACAACGATTTTCGTCGGCAGAAGAAGCAGTTAATGCGTTCAAAGACTATATTTTGGAGGTGTCTCAAGCGGAATGGAAAAAATGCTTTGACAAGTGCTTCGAACGCATGCAAAAGTGTATAGATCATAAAGGAGAATATTTTGAAAAACAATAAATGACAAATTATTGTTTTTTTATTATTATTTTTATTATTAGGCTCAGAATATAAATAGTGACCCTCGTACACTGTAATGTGTATATCGGGAGGATGTCCGGCTATAGCTGCGCGGATTTTCTCGACATCTCACTGCGGATCGATTTTAATTAATTCGCGAAGAGGAAAAGAAAAAGGGGGGCACTTACTGTTATCTGAGTAGTGAGTCTGAGTGGTCAACCCTCGGTTCACTGGTCTCGGTTGGGCCTACCTAAAGGTTGTCTTCCTTTGCGCACTGAGTTTAGTGTTTAAATGTACAAAGTGCGCACTGAGTTTAGTATTTAAATGTACAAAGGGCGCACTGAGTTTAATGACATTTTGACTGTATAGAAGCCCTTTCTTCCTTTTTTTCTATCTCTCTGCCCGGTGTCTCGCGATGTCACGGTTTATATAGGGATTGTTTAGGGGGAGGTTCCATGGTAGGGTGTGTCTAATTGGGAAATCTAGTTCGCAGGATTCTGAGGTGATATAGTTTCGATTCGTCATTGGAAAATTGCCTTCCAGTTAGTTCCGCCCGCTGTGTCATTTTTTATTCGTTCTCACGTTGAGCGATGGATATAAATACCTCTGGATTAGTTAATCGAGAGTCGCGATTCGTGTTGATTTTTTTCAGTGTCGGAAAATGTTATTACTAGATTTATAAACCTGTCTTAAGCCTAAGTGTGGGACCATTATCGTTGGGCCCGCGTGATATCGGTGTGAGATGGTTAAACATTTCATCTTCTTTCGAGCGTCGGTCCGCGCTATCGCTCTTATTATCGCGGGGATTATTTCGTGGCTTGGCTTAGCGCTTTGGTACCAACGCTGTTTGATGATTATTTGATGTCGATTTTCGTTTTTCACGATGCTCGAAAAGAGGTTTGATAGTCAATGCTACGAGAGAGTTTTTATCGCGGATTTTTCGATTCTAGGCAATTATTTCATGACCTGGATTAGCGCCTTGGTACCAACGCTATTTGGTGATTATTTGATGTTGACTTTCGTTTTTCACGATGCTCGAAAGGAGATTTAACGTTTGATTGTCAGCGCTATGAGAGAGTTTTTATCGCGGGTCTCTCGATTTTAGGCAAACAAGATTTTGTGGTTGGAAACTTCTCTCGGATTTGTATTATCAATTGAATTTGTTCATATCTTACTTTGTTGTTTGAATGGTTGCGAAACGAAGAAATCGTGGAGTCCATCGGACGTAACACATCTTTATCAAATTAAATTCTACCAAATTAAAAAGTAAAATCCAAGTGGTATTATTATTTTTGTTATCAGGAGACGCGGTAGTGGCTCCGGCCATGTTCAAAAATCAAAAATAAGAGATAAGAGACACTACAAGTCTCTTATCCTGTACCACCAAAGTCCATTTTTGGAGATTGCATAACTAATAAAATATAAAATATTTTGAATCGGACGTAACATATTTTGAAGGCGGCATCGTCACGAGTAATTAAAAAAAAAAAATTAAAAATCGGT